TTGAAGTCACCAAAAATGAATATCTCATCAACTGGAGTGGAACTTTCGACAACTGTGAAAACTGACCGACAGTGAGTATCGATGAGTTCATTGTCGCGGACTCGATCAGGTGGAATGTACAGAGCGCATAGAAATAGTGTGCGATCACCCAGATTGATGGCTGTCCAAACCTGCTCCACATTGTTCCATGAATCGTTCTCGATGGCCTTTGCCTCCAACCCGCTACGGACAGCTACAAGGACACCTCCACCAGTAGATTTACGGCTGTTGTTAGGATTCCGATCGCAACGAAAGACCTCGTAGTCAGGACCGAAGACTTGACTGGAAAGCGTTCGATAATCGAGCCACGTTTCGCACAGGACAATAATATCGTAGCAACGATCCGATACAGCTAGGCGGTATTCTTCAACATCAGAATTCATTCCACCGGCGTTTTGGTAGAAGATCACGACGTCCTGCTTGCGGCAAGGAATCGAACGACTACTCTCCCTGGAAATCACAGATACATCAGGCAATAACTGACCATCATCAAGTCTCATTGGATACTCGCCATAGTGAGTGGGTTGGAAGACCCCCTCTCCGCATCCGACAGCAGGTCCGGAACGACTATGATGAACGAAGGCTGCTGATGGCAGGACTGAGACGGAGGGATTGGGGGCTTCCATGGGGCTTTCTACGGCGCGTTCCGGGTTTCCAAGATTAGGAGTTACAGAGGCATCATCACAATGACTAACATAGTTAGAATTGCTGAAAATTTGATCGGCATCAGGCAGTGAATAGTTAATATATTGATTGTACTTGCTTGTAGAGGCAAGGTGGAAGACTCCTGATTCATATCCAGCCACAGGTCCAGGACGACTATGCAGAACGCTGGCGGGAATCGGCACGACTGGGCTGGAGTAACCAGGAGCTTCCAAAGAGCGGTCTATTGTGCGTCCCGGAGATGAATTAGGATTGTTCGAACAGTGAAGCGGATGTTGTGAATGAGCAGTATCAGAAGTGCTTCTCAACTGGAAACAGCCGGCAGGTGCTTGAAGCGTTGCACTGGAACACGGAAACTGATCAGGCAAATGACTATAACTAATGTATGCATACTAGGGTGCTTCATTCTGAAAAAAGTGATGAATTTCTGATGGGCCACCCTCCAGTTCGATTCATAGCCCCAAAATATGAACCTGTGCAAAAATTGGTAAAGATTGATGAAGGTTTAGAGGTCGCGCCAATGATTTGAAATTTGTATGGGAATTACTATGGAAGAATTTAAAAAATCGCTTATATCGCTATAACTTTGCTTCTACTTGTCCAAATGTCGAAAAAATTTAGTATGTTATTGCTATGGCAATAAACAAAAAGCCTACAGTTGCTACGCTCAGTTTTGCAGCGTATCAAGAATTATAAAAATGTGAAAAAATGGCAAAATAGGGTAAATTGACAGATGAATATGTACAAGGCAACAACGCCAATTTCATCGCAACAACAACAGGCTTGTTGATCATTGTCATGACAACCACATATTTTTTTTTTTTCAACGTTTGGACAACTACAACCAAAGTTAGAGCAATGTAAACGAAAATCAATAATTTCCCATACTAATTCACCAAAATCTCCATACAAAATCCAAATCATTGGCGCGACCTCTAAACCTTCATCAATCTTTACCATTTTTTGCACAGGTTCATATTTTGGGGCTATGAATCGAACTGGAGGGTGGCCTATCAAAAATTCATCACTTTTTTCAAAATGAAACACCCTAATGCATACTTGCCTGAAGACGATGCTTGGGAGACCCCACCACCGAACTCGACCGCAGGGCCAGAACGACTCTGATGGCAGGAAATAGAACGACTTTGATGGCGGGAAACAGCTAGCGCGACTGGATCGAGTGGTTCGAGGTCTCCCATAATGCGACAGGCATTGCGTTCTGGTCTACAGCGCTCCGATTCACAACGCAAAATCCAATTCTGAATCAGCAGACTGGGTCTAGTCCGGAAATGGGAGTTGAGAACTCGGAAGGTCCCGTAATAGGAGAGATTGTGATGGTAGGCGTGTTCAAACGAGGCAACCACATGTTTTTTGAACCGTCTTCAAATTCACGGAACAAAATTCCTTTCGGCCATGTATCCGATCTAACAGCAGCTTCGCGTAGTTTGGGATCCATTCCGACTTTGTACGAGATGAAGCTCATACGGCTGATGTCGGATCCTTTTTTGACTAGCGGCACAACCTTAATCGGATCTTCGCACTGTACACAACCTTTCACCAGCTTCTCGATTGATTCCGATTTCACGCTAGGATGAATACGAGAAAGGTACAGCCAAAACAGCTCGGTGGGTTCAGGGACAGTAAGGACCTCGGTAAAGGCATTGTCACCTGTTACTGCTTTAGAACCACCAACAAGTGGTTTGCCTGTGAGCGAGCCTTCATCGCGGCGCCGTTTTAATGGCGGTTGACGCATGAAATCAGAGTTTGTCGGAGTTGTCAATGCGATTCGTTTTGATAGCTGAGCGATCTGCTGTTCTTGCTTAGCCATTTCCTTCCTAAGCTCAGCGTGTGCGATTTCCTGTCTCTCGGTGATAGAATTAATCACACTGCCAAACGACGAGACGGCAGTTTTGAATCGAGCACATTTCATCAGCTTCGCGCACTCGTTACACATCCAAAACAGGTTCGGGCTAGTATGGACAATGTTCAGAAAAGCCTTCCCGCATAAACGCGAACCATAAATTGACCTTACCTAAAATGGTTAAAAATGGTTTATAATCCCTGCTAAACTTTAACTGAAATGGTTATGGAACTTTACATGAACGTTTAATGATAAAGTTTCAACCTTATGTATTATGGTTTTTTGGAACTGGACCTTACAAATAATGGGTTGTTAAGAACCATTACCGTTCCAAATTCTTGTTTTCTCCATACATTTTCGGAAAGAGAACTATATTAGAACCTTTTAACTTATGGTTTGAGAACTTTAATGGTAATGGTTATGGTAGTCAGTAAGGTCAACGAATGGTTTTGTAACATCGATCAACTTTATGTGGAATATATCGCGAATTGGTTGCCTGTAATTTACTGATTACCAATTCACGATATATTCCACGTAAAGTTGAGCGATAATACAAAACCATTAATGGACCTTACTGACTACCATAACCATTGCCATTAATGTTCTCAAATCATAAGTAAAAACGTTCTTATATAGTTCTCTTTCTGAAAATGTATGGAGAAAACAAGAATTTGGAATGGCAATGGTTCTTAACAACCCTTTATTTGTAAGGTCCAGTTCCAAAAAACCATAATACATAAGGTTGAAACTTTATCATTAAACGTTCATGTAAAGTTCCATAACCATTTCAGTTAAAGTTTAGCAGGGATTATAAACAATTTTTAACCATTTTAGGTAAGGTCAATTTATGGTTTATGCGGGTTATTCAGCTTTGTGCCGCCACACTTTAGGTGAATTATCCTGTCGCAAAAAGCCATGCAGGAGACGGATTCTTCATCGCCTTTAACTGGCTTAGCGCATTGGTCACAGGCGGAAGTCATGCTGACTCAGTTTCCAAAAGTGATTTAGAAACAGCGGTGGAGATGCTCTAATACGCAAAGAGGAATTGGATTCTCGAGATCGCCCAATGCTAGTCGTGTCCAATATGTCCAATATGTGATTGGATACCCGCATAAACGCGAACCATAAATTGACCTTACCTAAAATGGTTAAAAATTGTTTATAATCCCTGCTAAACTTTAACTGAAATGGTTATGGAACTTTACATGAACGTTTAATGATAAAGTTTCAACCTTATGTATTATGGTTTTTTGGAACTGGACCTTACAAATAATGGGTTGTTAAGAACCATTACCATTCCAAATACTTGTTTTCTCCATACATTTTCGGAAAGAGAACTATATTAGAACCATTTAACTTATGGTTTGAGAACTTTAATGGTAATGGTTATGGTAGTCAGTAAGGTCCACGAATGGTTTTGTAACATCGATCAACTTTATGTGGAATATATCACGAATTGGTTGCCTGTAATTTACTGATTACCAATTCACGATATATTCCACGTAAAGTTGAGCGATAATACAAAACCATTAATGGACCTTACTGACTACCATAACCATTACCATTAATGTTCTCAAATCATAAGTAAAAACGTTCTTATATAGTTCTCTTTCTGAAAATGTATGGAGAAAACAAGTATTTGGAATGGTAATGGTTCTTAACAACCCATTATTTGTAAGGTCCAGTTCCAAAAAACCATAATACATAAGGTTGAAACTTTATCATTAAACGTTCATGTAAAGTTCCATAACCATTTCAGTTAAAGTTTAGCAGGGATTATAAACAATTTTTAACCATTTTAGGTAAGGTCAATTTATGGTTCGCGTTTATGCGGGTAATGTTTTCACTGTTTTCACAACACAAAATATGCTGTAATTGGCCGATTATCGTAACGAACTACACTTTCCACTAACAACCAGTACAATATTACAAGTATACCGAACGGAAAAACACGAATAACGATAGCCCGTGTGATAAAAAAAATGACAAATTTAGCAGCGCAAAATCACGACGACGTGAATAACAACAACTCTATTGTAAACATTGCTGAACATCTGCGAACAGATAGATATACGTCACTGCCAACATACTCAGAACAGATAGAAATACGTCACTGCCAACAGCTATTTCGTGTAAAAAGATAAACATTGCAATATAATACGAACACCACTAACCTCTCCAAAATTACAATGCTAGTTGGTAGAGGAGACATTCCTCTACATGCTGGTATAATTATTTTTCATGAGTTAGCAAAAGCGAAAAATCGACGGCTAAAGTCATTGTTTACAAATGCAATTACGCCCCTTTGAAATGTTGGCACTGATTTGCACATTTCACTAACACCAATAAGCCCTTTGGCCCAGACCTTATATAAACGTCATTGCTACCGAATGTCAAATAAATCGAAACTGACAATGTTTTCATTATTCTGCGTTCCGTGCGATTTTGGTTTGATCGCCAGTTTCGGTGCGTGAGAAAATCTAGGAATTTATTGTGCAATTTTATTAAAAGTACATTATCGTACTAGCTACCACCTATCTCAGATTAATCATCTTACAGCTGTGAAAAGAGGTATTTTCCTACTGAATTTAGTTTCAAATCAACCTAGTATTACATCGTTACATAACCGTTTCGCCGGTTTCAATGTTTTCTAGTCAACAGAAATCAACAAAAATGCTTCGCCAACTTTCCTGCAGCCGATTTCCGGCTCTGCGGCGATCGCTTTCGACTGTTCCCAAAGTCAACCCAGCGATACTGTCGAATACAAAAGCATCGGATCGCTACAAGCCTGGAAATCAATACAATGGCTTCCTTTGCACCCGGTCTCAATTCATCCAGGACTTCAACATGACGGCCTACATGTTCCAACACGAGGGAACCGGTCTAGAGTATCTGCACATCGATCGGAATGACTCGAACAACGTGTTCTCTGTCAATTTCCGCACCACTCCGTTTGACTCAACAGGTTTACCGCATATTCTGGAGCATAATGTCCTCTGTGGATCGGAGCGTTTTCCTGTACGGGATCCGTTCTTTAAAATGTTGAACCGAAGTTTGGCTACGTTTATGAATGCTATGACCGGGCCAGACTACACGCTGTATCCGTTTTCGTCGACCAATGAAGTGGACTACAGGAACTTGCAATCGATCTACCTGGATGCGGTATTCAGACCCAACTTGAAGTACTTGGATTTCCTGCAGGAAGGGTGGCGGCTGGAGCATTCTGAATTGCAGAACAAGAGCTCAGAGCTGGTGTTTAAAGGGGTGGTTTACAACGAAATGAAGGGAGCATTCTCGGAAAACTCGGCTGTTTTTGGGCAGAAGTTTTTCAACCAGATACTGCCAGATCATACGTATGGATACGTGTCCGGTGGAGACCCGCTGGAAATTCCCAAGCTGACACATGAGGATTTGGTTAACTTCCACCGTACGTACTACCACCCGAGCAATGCGAGAATTTACAGCTACGGAAACTTCAACTTGGATAAGACGATGGAGTATGTGCACCAGCGATATTTGAGGGAATTTGAGAAAATTGATTCAAGGTACATTTTGCTCCTCTTGTATTTGATATGTACTGATGATTTTTCTTTAATTGGATTTCAGCTACAGCATCATTCCTCCGCAAAAGCGTTGGAGCAAGCCGGAGAAAAGTCATATACAGGGTCGTTTTGATAGTATGGGAGCTCCGCTGGAACGGCAGAATCAAATTGCTATTGGATACCTGATGGCGGATATCACCGATGTGTATGAATCGTTCCTGATTTACATTCTGTCGGAGCTATTGGTGAAAGGTCCAAATTCGTACTTTTACAAGAGCTTAATTGAACCTAACATCTCCGGTGGCTACAACCAGCTGACCGGATTTGACCCAAATATTCGTGACACGATGTTTGTGCTTGGATTGCAAGACCTTCCGGTGGAAGATTTCGGAAAGGTTCAGAACATTTTCGACCAAACAATCGACGAGGTTATAGAGAAAGGATTCGATAACAACCATTTGGAAAGTGTGCTGCATCATATAGAGCTTCAGATGAAGCATCAATCGACGAAATTTGGACTGGGTTTGCTGTTCAATTTGACGCCACTGTGGAACCACAATGGTGATTTGATCAAATCGATGAATGTCAGTGCCTTGGTTCAGCAACTGAGAGGTAATCTGGCGCGAGATCCAAAATATTTGCAGAGCAAGGTCGAGTTCTACTTCAGAAACAACAAACATCGACTAACCATGACTATGTCCCCAGACGAGCAGTACGAGAAAAAGTTTAATGAGAGTGAGAAGAAAAATTTAGCTGGCAAGGTTGATCGACTGACGGATAAGGACCGAGAGCGCATCTTCAAAGAGGGATTGCAGTTGTCGGAAGAACAAAAATCGATTCCAAATACGGATGTGCTGCCTTGTTTGAAACTTGAAGAAATTCGACAGTCACCTGCAAATAACGATATCAAAGCACAGTTGATCAAAAACGTTCCAACTCAAACATGTCGGGTAGATACGAATGGCGTAACGTACTTCCGAGGAATTCTGGACGCCAAGGTACTCTCAGACGAACAGAAGCTCTTGTTACCTCTTTTCAATGCTGTGATCAACCAGTTCGGAACCAAAGACATCAACTACCGTAATTTCGATCAGATTATTAGCTCCAAAACAGCTGGAATTCATTTCAGTACCCACCTTACGGAGAACATCGACGATAACGGACGGTATGAGTTTGGAGTTTTGGTTGGATCATATGCCCTCAACAAAAACGTCCCCGATATGTTCGATATCCTGGGAAAGATTTTCAACGAAATTGATCTCACCGATGTCGGCCGGTTCGAGATGCTGATGGAAAATTACATGTCGGAACTTTCGGTAGGAATCGCACAATCCGGTCATCTGTACGCTATGCAGAACGCGAATGGGTTGGTTACCGAATCCGGCCGGTTAAAGGAGCAGCTCATGGGTATTGAACACATTGCATTTATGAAGAATCTGGCCAAAAACAACACGCCCGAGCAGGTTCTCGAAAAACTGCGTTTGGTTGGGGAAATTCTGTTTAAAAAATCCAGTCTTCGGTGCGCTTTGAACTACGACAAAGACAGTGAAGCCGATACTCTCTCCCAGTATGAACATTTTATCGCTAGCATTCCATCTCGACCATCGGAAACCACGTGGAACACTTCCAAAAATCTGGACCCATCATGCCGTCAAACCGTTATGAACATCCCAGTCAACTATTGCGCCAAATCGATTGTAACTGTGCCGTACTCCCACCCAGACTATGCAGCGCTGAAAGTTCTTGCCAAGTACCTTTCATCCAAATACCTTCTTCCGGTTGTCCGAGAGCAAAACGGTGCCTACGGGTCTGGCGCCAAAATCACCACCGATGGTTTGTTCAACTTCTTCAGCTACCGGGATCCAAACTCCCGGGTAACGTTGGATGTTTTCGATCAGGCCTACCAGTGGACGGTTGACAACTTGGCCAAGATGGATGGCCAGACGTTGTTCGAAGCGAAGCTCGGCGTGCTGCAGCAGTTGGATATTCCGATTGCACCCATCGACCAGGGAATTGACCTATTCCGGCATGGCATCAGTGAGGAGCGCTTCAACAAGCATCGAAATGAGGTACTGTCGGTCGGCAAGGACCAGTTGATGCAGGTAAATGAGAGGTACCTGAAACCGGGCGCTGTTGCCGTGGTAGGAAAGAGCGTGCTCGGTCCGGAGAACGACGGACTCAAGAAGGATGGGGAAAAGTGGAGTGTTTTTGCTTTGTAAGTTGTATTTAAGGGTTAGGTAGGGTAGAGATGTTCCATTTGAATAATGTGTTGTTGTAAATATAAATTGGAAAAGCCATCTAGAGCATTGAAAAATATTGATACCGAAATTATATTCCAATCTGCTCCGATGCATACTATAAAGTATTATCTACTTCGAGGGGAGGCTGATCTCATGCTCATCTTATTTTTCTCAGCTAGCCGACGTGGTTCGAGCGCTGGTATCATCTTCGCTGCAGCAGCTCTGAAGATTTTGCTCAGGGGGAGGGGGTAAGAATTCCTAAAACATCGTAGTTTGTAGACAGCCCCTCGGTTTGGTGGCTTACACGTTTCTTCTTCTTTGGCTTTATTACGTCCTTACTGGGAGTTTACTCCGGCTTTCAATTTACCACTCCAATACCCACAAAAAAATAAGGATTACACAGTCTCAAATTTCAAGCACTTCTCTTTAGCTCAGCTAGCCGGCGTTGCTAACTCGCTGATCATCTCTCCATTTTCGCTGCAGCTCCGACAGTATTTGCGTCAGTGCCCTGCTGACGACGCTCCACGTCCTCTCATCCCGGCACATTTCACTGACGACATTTCCCGCGCTAAGGGCCGGCATCTCCACTCGCACTGCCTCAAATCTTGGGCAGTCGAAAACTACGTGCTCCGGCATTTCGTCCAGGTTGCCACACTCCGGACAGAGGGGTGACGTTGCGTGTCCGAAGCGATGCAGGTACTTCCTGGTCGAAATAATCAGTATTAGCCTGTGCGTCCATCTACCGTTCTCCGCTGCGTCCCACTCCTGCTGCCACTTAGTCATCGACTCCGTTCTCACCAATGTCCGTACTCCTCTGGTATCTCTTCGCATATAGCACTCGGTGGACTCCGCCAAGGTGATGACGATGGGTATCATACCGGCGATAACGCATACTGCCTCCATCGAAATGGTTCTGTTCGCACTCACGACTCGCATGGCCATGAGGCGGAACGTACTGTTCAATTTTCTTTGGTTCTTCTTCGTTTTCAGCGCTGCATCCCAGACCAAGGTTGCAAAGACTCATTTCAGCTAAAACAATGTTTTTCTAAATTATGAAATAATTAGATGCCATGATCAAATTTTGAATTGGTAGGATACAAGAATAGGTTGCAAAGAATGTGTTTGACATATTAAACCTGTTTATTTCACTTCATGAGAGTCACAATCAGCGATTTTTCACAAACTCACTCACTCACTCACTCAGCGATCAGCAAATCGCTGATTGTGACTCATAGAAAGCAAAATTTACAGGTTTTATGTTTCCAATGCATACTTTGTAACCTCTTCTTGTAAGTTACAAGTAAAACATGCCATCATACCATCTTTTGGTTTTATTATTCCGAAAAACATTATTTTAGCTGAAATGAGTCTTTGCAACCTTGTCCCAGACTGGACCTCCGTACCTCAGTATCGACGACAATACACTAGCGAGAAACGCCTCTTGCTGCTGCTTGGTCCAGAGTTGTTCGGCATGATTCTAGCTATTGTATTGATGGCCGCCTTCGCCGCCTTCTCACATGCGTAGTGGACGTGGTTATTGAAGTTTAGCTGGTCATCGAGTATCACTCCAAGATACTTAAGCACGCGCTTTGATGCTATGGCGTTCTTTCCGACGGTAATTTCTGCCCGCTGAACAGCTTTACAGTTACTGACCAATACCACTTCCGTTTTGTGGTGGGCTATCTGCAGCTTCAATCTTTGCATCCAGTTGGAAACCGTGTCGATCGCCTCGGTAGCCAGCATTTCTACCTCTTCCAACGTCTACTACCGCCAAGACGACGTCATCCGCAAATCCTACAATCTCGATTCCGTTGGGCAGCTTCAGCGTTAGCATGCCGTTGTACAAGGATGGAGCCTTGTGGCACACCTGCCGTGATCCGGTTTGATTTCTCTCCCATGTCCGTCTCGTAAACTAGAACCCGGTTCTGGAAGTAACTACTTATAATGCTACACAGGTAATCAGGAACCCGCATTCCATGCAGTGCTTCGGCGATGGGCTCCCAGCTGGCACTGTTGAATGCGTTCTTCACGTCGATCGTTATCACGGCGCAATATCGATCTCCTCTCCGCTTCTCTCGACCACTGTCCTAATTGCATCCACCGTTGATCTCCCTTTCCGGAATCCGAACTGCCTCACCGACAATCCGTGCATTTCGTTAGCCTGTTGAGGATGATCTTCTCCAATAGCTTTCCGACTGTATCCAGCAAGTATATAGGCCTATACGATGCTGGATGTTTTTTTCTTCTTCTTTTAAGGTTTAGGAAAGCTTCAAGAAGCCTGGCCTGTAGTGAAGTTGGCACGGAGTGGTATCCACTAGTTGCCTAGTGCAGCTCCACTAAAACCTATTCCTTACTCTCTCCTCTGCCTGGATCCCCCCGGGACCACTGTGAAGCGACTACTTCGGGGGGTGGCTGTGTTCATGCACTTGTCGTACTCTCAGCGCTACTGTGTTACCTGACTTATAACGAATATACGTTGTATACGAGTACCCCGAATACAACGTATAGTTCGTCTAATTTTACATTGCATATGCTATGCAAAATAAGACGAGTCATACGTTGTATTCGGGGTACTCGTATACAACGTATATTCGTTATAAGTCAGGTAACACAGTAGCTGGCGTTGCTAGATCGCTACTCTTCTCTCCATTTACGCTGCTGATCCGACATAATCTGCGTGACTGGCCTGCTGACGGCATTCCAAGTGTCCTCCTCTCGACACATTTCATCGACGACATTCTCCACGTTAAGGACGGGCATCTCCGTTCGCACTGCCTCGAACCTTGGACAGTCGAAGACCACATGCTCCGGCGTTTCATCGACGTTGCCACACTCCGGACAGAGGGGTGACGCTGCGTGTCCGAACCGATGCAGGTATTTCCTGAAGCAGCCGTGGCCAGACAGGAACTGCGTTAGGTGGAAATTGACTTCTCCGTGTTTTCTGTTCACCCAGGTCGAAAGAATCGGTATTAGTCTATGTGTCCATCTACCGTTCTCCGTCGTGTTCCACTCCTGTTGCTACTTAGCCAATGACTCCACTCTCACAACTTTCCGTACTCTTCCAACTTCTCTCTCACGACTCGCATGGCCATGAGCCGGTACGTACTGCTCTGTTTCCTTTGGTTCTGCTTCGTTTCCAGCGCTGGGACCCAGACTGGACCTCCATATCTCAGTATCGATGATGACACGCTGGCCAGAAGACGCCTCTTGCTACTGCTGGGACCAGCGTTGTTCGGCATGATTCTCGCTATCGCGTTGATGGCCTTCGAAGCCTTCTCACAGGCATATTCGAAGTGGCTGTTGAAGTTTAGCCGGTCATCGATCATCACTCCCAGGTATTTTAACACACGCTTCGAGGTTATGGTGTGCTCCCCGACGGTGATTTCTGCCCGCTGTACCGCTTTACAGTTACTGACCAATAACACTTCCGTTTTGTGGTGGGCTATCTGCAGCTTCGCTCGTTGCATCCAGTTACCAATCATGTCGATTGCCTCGGTTGACAACACCAACCACCTCTTCCAGCGTCTCGCCTGTTACCTGCCAAAACGACGTCATCCGCAAAGCCAACGATCTCAACTCCTTTGGGCAGTTTCAGCGTTAACACGCCGTTGTACATCCCGTTCCAGAGCATTGGACCAAGGATGGAGCTTTGTGGAACTCCCGTTGTGATCCTAATCGATCTCTGTCCCATGTCTATCTCGTAGACCAGAACCCGGTTCTGGAAATAACTCCTCAGGATCCTGCACAGGTAGTCAGGGACCCTCCCAGCTGGCGCTGTTGAACGCATTCTTGACGTCGATCTTGATGACGATGCTGGATGTGTGTGTGTGTGTGTGTGTGTGTGTGTGTGTGTGTGTGTGTGTGTGTGTGTGTGTGTGTGTGTGTGTGAGAGTGTGTGTGTGTGTGTGTGCGTGTGTGTGTGTGTGTGTTTTTTTTTTTTTTTTTTTTTTTTTTTGGCAAGGAGGAAACCTTCAAAAAGGCCATCGTGCCACCGCTTGACGACTGGGCGCACAGTCGCGGTGACACGGTGTGTGGGATTCTTACCGCACTAAAACCTCCTTAGACGCCTTGCCCTTTTCCCCCGGAACCACTTGTCGTATTACTTCGGAGGAGTGTGTGTGTGTGTGTGTGTGTGTGTGTGTGTGTGTGTATGTGTGTGTGTGTGTGTGTGTGTGTGTGTGTGTGTGTGTGTGTGTGTGTGTGTGTGTGTGTGTGTGTGTGTGCGTGTGTGTGTGTGTGTGTGTGTGTGTGTGTGTGTGTATGTGTGTGTTGTGTATTCACAACAATCATTGAATACAGAATAAGAGCTTATCAGGCAAAAATATGCTTCTACGGCTACAGCTTTTGATCAGGTCAAATTGTTTGTTGGGTTGTAAGCTTCTGGAAAACATGATTGAAATTTTTCGTATGATATCCACTCAAAATTTGAAGGAAGTATTTCACATGCTTCTGAATATAGTTTTGGCGTTTTGGCTTTCTTTTGAAGGGACGGTAAACACAACACAGGAGCAACATTAGTATATATAGGTAGCTGGATTTATTATGCTATCAAAAACTGAAAAATCTACACATGCACTCTTACGTTACGTACGTACAACACCTTCCCTGTTCAGCTGTGGAATGACCTATATGTATTACGACGCTGAGCCAAGGAAACGATAACATCAATAAAAAGACGATTAATAAGAAATTATGTAAATAACAGCACAAGTTTTCCAGAGCTGCTCCTCCTCTCTAACAGTAACGTGTTTAGAAAATTCTATTCGCGATAAGTCGCACATCACTGGATGATATTAATTTGACGATGGTAGCAAATTTCATAAAAAAAAAATGCATAACTCTGTTTCATTCTTTGTTGACTGCATCTTCGTAATCTTATTCCTTTCTATATAAAAGCTGTCTTTTACTGTTTGCAAGATTGTTTAGCCTTGATTTGCTTGTCTGATTGAAAAATTCTACCCATGTTGGTGAACATTAATCTACATTCGAAAATACGTGTAAATGTGATGATTTTCATTTCACTTCTACCGTAGATTATGGATGATGAAATGTGATTACTACTAGAAAAAAAGTCCCTCCACTGCCGCAAAAGAATGCAATTGCTTTGTCCCCAGATTTGGAATTTCAACTCCCGTGCCCCTGCTGTTCCTGACGTTCCCTAAAAGTACTTATTGTTGTAACGATAGATGGCCACACCGGCGACACCAATAAGAATCGACCCCATCAGGTAGCCCCACAGCTTGAACTGAAAGAAAGAGGATAGCTAAATCAAATCCAACGGGACACAGATACACATGTGATTTCGTGGTAAAAATTGATGTTATACGGAAGATACAACCAATATTGTTGGAAAAACGAGAGAAAGAAGAAAAGAAAAGAAAAACATGGTTAAATTTGAACCACGAAGCATTCGAACCGATAGAATAATTCTAGAGGCTATCCATTATATGTGGTTCTACTAGTTCCCACAGTGACTACACAACGAGAACTGATAAGTATGCTTTAAGGACTTGGTTTTACCTTGGAAGTTTCACGGTTCTGAGCGGTGGGAGCAGCTTTCGTTTTCTGTTCCAACTTTTGCGCGTGTCCAAGCATCTTCTGGTATAGATCTTTCTCATTGCGTGCTTCCCGTTTGGATTTTAGGATTAACTTGGAAAGTTCCTAAAGCAATTTTAAATTATCTTTATCAATTCGAAAGGCAAAGCTGTTGCTACATACCGATTGGATCAACTTGTCGTCCTCGTCAATTGTGGCTGCCTTCTGTAGGAATGATATAGCGCCCTGGGTGTCGCCTTTAGCGTCCAAAATCTGAGAACAGAAACAAATGTTAAATTTTCCGATCCACTTAAAGATTCACCCTTCTTCCATATACCTTTCCTTTCCTGAACAAAGCCTTAGCATTGTTCGGCTGACACTGTAGAACGTGATCTACTGATTTCAGTGCAGCATCGTATGCTGCTATTTTTAATTGCGCAAGAGCCAAATTGTTGTAAACCTTCATGCGATCTTCCAGCAATTCTTGAAGCTCTGCATTCGTAGGCTGTCATAGATTAATACAAATGAAAAATTAATGAGAGACGTTCCCAGCACACTTGCACTCATACATACCTCCAAGTTTCCGCTTTCTGTTGGATTCGTTATTCCCCCTTCGCTTTCATCCAAATATTCCAGTGCCCTCCGGTAGCTCTGGATTGCCAAATTGTACTCTTGCCGTTTCATCCAAAAGTTTCCCCTCAAGCGTTTCTTGTTTCCAATTTCCTTCCGTGCAGCGTACGATTTGCTCTCCAGGTCAATCTCCTCTTTGGACGAGACCAGTTCCACCGTGTAGGTAATGTTTGCATTCGGTGGTACGCTTCGTTCCGGATGTTCTTCATTTTTCCATCCTTGTTCCCCATAGGCAAACCTTGAGGTCACAATCACTTCAGCCTGCTCGCCAATATTCATCAACTTCAGAGCCATGTCCAGTCCCTGGACAACCTCTACATCATCGATTTGAACCACATAGTCTCGAACTTCCTCCACGATGGTGCCATCATCCAGTCGACCTGTGTAGTTGATAATGGCAATGTCCCTGCCCTCGGGTCTCTCGCCTTGACCTTCCTTTATCACCTTTTTCAGTAGTGTTCCATTGCCCAGAATATCCATATACTCTTCCTTCTTTTCGGACGTTTCCTGCTGTTTCTGCTGATCTGTGGAGGAATTCATTTCGGCCCGTTCCTGCTCGTTGATGTTGGAAAGATCTTCGAACGAGCTACTACTCGACTTTTCCGCGTCCATATTGTTTTCTGTGAAACAATATCAACAATGGTTACTCATAATCACACAATCAGAGCTATTTCTTTATCAAATAACAATAAATTATTGTCACAATGTAAAAAGCTGTGCGTGGATTAGAAAGTCTTAACAAGACATCCGACATGACTACAAGGTAATGACGTCGTGTCCAAGAAAAAAAAAATCGTGCGTGTGAAAGGTCTAGAAACAAGGCAGCTAATTTCCATATTTTCGCTAAATTTCATTAATCCATTACTCACCGTCGTGGGGCCACTTCCTGGTACACTAGCTTCGAACAATGGAACACTACTTCTGTTTAAATTCAGGAGAATTGCTTTTGATGATCTGCTTTTTACGCAGATAGTATCCGCAGATGATAAAGAAAACAACAGAAAGTAGTGCACCTCACACCACACCATGCAAGATTTTGCTTTGATTCATCGTCCAATGTTCAAAACACGCACACGATGAACTGACACAACTGACACTCAAGCCCAATGAACTGGATTACCGAGGTGAAGCAATCGCTTAAGTTGTGTGAGTAAAACCCAATGAGCTGGATTACCGAGGTGAAGCAATCGGTTAAGTTGTGTGAGTAAAACCCCTGTACGATACAAGCAATTAGTGACGTCACTACTTGCGTTTACGTTGATTTTTTGGTTTACTAATACAACAATATTTCACGACATGCTTCACCTCTCTCTGTATCATTGAGTAAAACTAAAGCCCTACAGTAAAAGTATGGACGACTGTCACCACAAAACTGAAAAAAAGCTGTTCCAATAGGAAGATTGCCGTAAAAGCTCGACGCAGATGTCGCCACTGCATGATGATGATAATGTTGACAGACTGCATATAAAATTCGTGAAAATTAGCATTAAATCATAATTTTCATCAAGCCTGCGTAAAATCCTTCCAATATAACATTCGAAATGAAGAAGAAAATGTTTTCACGATCAGACTGATGTGCATCTTTGACTTTTCCAGATGAAATTTCATAAGATATATTCATTTCATTTCACAGCTCCATCAATGCTGCATCGTACATATGATGTAAACAGAAGTAAATTGCTCAATTACTCAAAATAAACATGATTTGTCATCTTGTTATCACTTTATAAACCATCGAGCACCATTTTATAGTATGGTGCGTGTTGAGTAATTCATGTTCCGTTGCGTTTCCGTCGAAAATTGTGAGTATCAATATGTTTACCTAAAAAAGGCCAAAATGAACATTTATTGAATATTGGCGTCCTATACAACCATTTACCCATTATCACCAGCATGATACAATCTTTCCTAAGTAAATTCACTTAATTTCCACTTTTATCTTAGTGAAAATCGCACATATTCACCATTTTCCGAAAAAATGTAACTGCGCAGGAGGTAACCTCTACCTGTGGGTGCAAACTTGTTATGCATAATTTTCCATGAAAACATCTCCGATCCATACCGTAATAATAACAGTTAGTTTGCAAACACGTTTTCTTACACGATTCAAGCAAAAGTTTCCACCGGAAATTATTAGTTTTTCTTTATGTACCGATTTGCCCCAAAAATCGTCTGTTTTACTTGGAGAATTTGGAAACTATCCTCCTTCTAGTAGTTCTCACTTCGAAATGTAGGTGGCGAAAGCTTGAAAAAGTTTCGCTGCAAGACGCCAATCGAGCCTCGAATCGAGCAAACCCGCATAAACGCGAACCATAAATTGACCTTACTTAAAATGGTTAAAAATTGTTTATAATCCCTGCTAAACTTTAACTGAAATGGTTATGGAACTTTACATGAACGTTTAATGATAAAGTTTCAACCTTATGTTTTATGGTTTTTTGGAACTGGACCTTACAAATAATGGGTTGTTAAGAACCATTACCGTTCCAAATTCTTGTTTTCTCCATACATTTTCGGAAAGAGAACTATATTAGAACCTTTTAACTTATGGTTTAAGAACTTTAATGGTAATGGTTATGGTAGTCAGTAAGGTCCACGAATGGTTTTGTAACATCGATCAACTTTATGTGGAATATATCGCGAATTGGTTGCCTGTAATTTACTGATTACCAATTCACGATATATTCCACCTAAAGTTGAGCGATAATACAAAACCATTCATGGACCTTACTGACTACCATAACCATTACCATTAATGTTCTCAAATCATAAGTAAAAACGTTCTTATATAGTTCTCTTTCTGAAAATGTATGGAGAAAACAAGAATTTGGAATGGTAATGGTTCTTAACAACCCATTATTTGTAAGGTCCAGTTCCAAAAAACCATAATACATAAGGTTGAAACTTTATCATTAAACGTTCATGTAAAGTTCCATAACCATTTCAGTTAAAGTTTAGCAGGGATTATAAACAATTTTTAACCATTTTAGGTAAGGTCAATTTATGGTTCGCGTTTATGCGGGAAGCGGTGCATTTTGACGGTTCAATTGGAACAACTTTTGACAGACGTCCATACTTTTACTGTAGGGCTTTAAGTAAAACCCCTGTACGATACCAATGAGATACAGAGAGAGGTGAAGCAGATCGTGAAATATGGTTGTTTACACAGAAAAACAAAACTACCCACCGCTTGGGTTTTTTAAACTCAAATTTGAGTTATTTGACCTCTGTCCGTTTCATTTCCTCTCGCTATTGTTGTCAAAAATAGAACGAAAGATTCGACTCAACCGTCTAGTTCCGTACAAGAAGCCAAAATTGAGTAATATGCGATATACCCAAATTTGAGTTAATTGAACTTAATTTTGGGTAGAAAAAATTGAAAATAACTTAGCGATGGGTATTTTTTTTTGCCGTGCTTAAATGCAAACTACTTTGAGCCGGTTTACCCAAATTTGGCTTATCGTACGGAACATGGGAGATGAGTGAAAAGAACTTAATTTTGAGTTGTTTTGAATTTCTGTGTAGTAATCAAAAAAATCATCGTAAACGCAATTAGTGACGTCACTAATTGCATTAAGGGGTTTTACTCACACAACTTAACCTACTACTTCACCTCGGTAATCCAACTCATTGGTACGATACAAGCAATTAGTGACGTCACTAATTGCGTTTATGTTGAATTTTTGGTTTACTAATCCAACAATATGTTACGATCTGCTTATAACCCGTTCACATTACAGCGTATATCACGTGATATACGCTTTCTTGCAATGAGCACTCATACATCTAGTTTTCACTGAAAATCGTATGTATGAGTGCTCATTGCAAGACAGCCTATATTACGTGATATACGCTGTAATGTGAACGGGGTATTACCCTCTCTCTGTATTCATTGAGTCAAGCCCTCGCTGAAGCCCAACACACTATATATAGAGATCTCCAAGCGCAATCTCACGAACACTAAAATCCAACATCCATATATAAAAATGAAGAAGAAGAAGAAACAAAAAGGTATCGCGATATCACAACTACTTAAAAAGGTAGCGCGCGGTCTCACGCACACTTTTGTGCATCAGGAGAACTCTATAGAGCTTTTTGACGTTTAATTAATCATGTTTTGTTGTTTTTGATATCATCCACATCCAGAGGGCCAGTCACTTTCGAATGTATGGGAATGGTAGGAAACCATTTGGAAATGCATGGAAATTTTCAGTTTTTATTCATTATCGTCTTTATCGGCAGTTTAAGATGCAGAAAAATTGCACGAGTACATTACTACCCGAATAGAAATTGTAATGTAGAAAACATCAGCAGACATCTTCAATACATTAAATTTTAACGTGTATTGCTGTACCCTTAATGTATTCAGACTTCAGTGTGACGTCCAAGTACATAAAAATACATAATACAGACGGAATAAATGTGAAGAGCATTTAGTTCTTTTAATTGATCAATTATCTATTATCTCAACTCTTTCCGTTTTTGAATTGTAAGCGTACCCAATTTGTAGTAATTTTTTTCAAAGAGAAAGTTGATTTAGAGAATCAATCAAAATCACTTGCACCCCTGCTTCCAAGTTTGGTTACAAGATTACAACTCTGGAGAGCATTTTGTGTGGTCGTTGGGGGCTTGTGGTTCTGAACAAACAAGCACAGCTAAATTCTATTCCAACTCTTTAATGATGTAAGCTTGATGGCCCTGAAAAGGGCCGTTTTATTGAAGAGGACATCCATGGCCACTTACGCTTGGCGTGTTTAGTGTAGGTGAAAGCATCACGGACCTCATTTTCCAGGAACACCTTCAGCACACCTCGTAGATCAGACCGGAAATACGTTTGACACCACCACGGCGAGCCAGACGACCGATGGCGGTTATCTCGAAGAGCTTTGCGATGACGCTTGGCGCCTCCTTTACCAGACTTTTTCCTCCTTTGCCACAACCAGTCAATTGGATTCTTTAAGGGTATTGAGGTAAATGCATATTCATAATCTGCATTAAAAATGGAACCCAAACCCAAAATTTCATCAATTTTGGTACACTGGAACTATTTTAAATAAGTAAGATTACATTTGCAAAAATTACCTTATTAGCGCCCCTCGGTGTCACTTTGTAAGGGAGCGAGCTGTCAGTTTGTTAGTTTAGTGTCAAACAGTGAAGTTATTATTTTGCTTTAAATCTTGATTTAAAAATCGAGATGAAAGTGTGTGGGTTCGAAAAAATATCGCTGTGCTCCAAAAACGAAGCTCTTTCAGATGATGTATAAAAAGCGATACATTTTTCAAAATTAAAGAACCCAATTGTTGCTTGTTAGGTGTGAAGGAGTGGACTAGCCACCACCTTCCTACTGCTGCTATTGCTGTTCACCACGCCGTCCGAAGCAAAAATGAGCTAATGCCATACAGCAGCGCTCTTTTATAACTTTTCAGGTTAAAACAGAATGATGTGCAACCAAGTGGTATAAAAGCTACAAAGACTCCTCCCATTATGAGTAGTTTGCTATCAAGTAGCGACACTGGCTCTTTTCCTTTTGCGTACACGGCGAATGAGAACGACCAAAATGTGAGTTTAGTTCACTCATAATCACCAAAAGTGCAGGAACTCAGCGATGAGTAAATTTGTCTCATGGTTTCCTGTGGAAAACCTAAAAAAATCTGTCAGAAAATGAGGAAATTGAAGAAAATTTTATTAAATCTCGAAGTAGTACCAATAGACTGAGTGAATCCAATCTTTACTTTTCTCAAATTCGGGAATTTTTCCCTGGGTAAACTGAGGGGGGCGACACATCTAAATCTCAAGTTTAGATGGTCAACAAATCTCACACTAGCGAATCAATCTTCGAACAATCTTCTTTCATTTGTCGCATCTACTTACATCGCTCATCAATTTTTTGCAGGAAATCTACAGAATCGTCATCAATCTTCTTTCTATCTACTCAGCGTGCGCGCAGCTAGCCACAGCAAAACACAATCTTTTTTGCATCGTCCCCCTCGGGGTAAACATGAGGCAAATTTACTCATCGCTG